ACTTAAGGAAGCTGGGGTGTGTGTGTGCGTGTGTGCACATGCACACACACACCCCAGCTTCCTTAAGTCCATGTGCACACACACACACACCCCAGCTTCCTTAAGTGCATGTGCACACACACACACCCCGCAGCTTCCTTAAGTGCATGTGCACACACACACATACCCACACCCCAGCTTCCTTAAGTGCATGTGTGCACACACACACACACCCCAGCTTTAAGTGCACGTGCACAGACATACACATCCCAGCTTCCTTAAGTGCATGTGCACACACACACACACCCCAGCTTCCTTAAGTGCATGTGCGCACACACACACACACCCCAGCTTCCTTAAGTGCACGTGTTCGCACACACACACACCCCAGCTTCCTTAAGTCCATGTGCACACACACACACACACCCCAGCTTCCTTAAGTGCATGTGCACACACATACACACCTCCCAGCTTCCTTAAGTGCATGTGCGCACACACACACACCCCAGCTTCCTTAAGTGCATGTGCGCACACACACACACCCCAGCTTCCTTAAGTGCATGTGCACACACACACACACCCCAGCTTCCTTAAGTGCATGTGCGCACACACACACACACCCCAGCTTCCTTTTACCACCCACAGAAGCCTCCAAGACTTGTTGAGACTTTCTTGACTGACCTGTAGGCAACAAGGGTCAGATGAAAACCTTCAACAATGTATGTAAGAGGAGGTGAACAAGAAAGCAACTGCAACTGTTTGACAGCAAATGACAGACTGAATCAAACACGTGGTCTTTTTTTCATGAAATGCATGACTTACCCTCCTTTCATTTTGTAAAATAGTCTTCTAAGATATTCTACAATTCTGGTAAATCAAATGTGTATAACCAAGAAATACTAAGCTTTCTGATTGTTGAACACCACTTTAAAAAGGTCCTTCAAAATAGACAAATTACCAATTAGAAATGTGCATTAGTTTCCTAGGTTTCTAAAATAAGGTTATGCTTAAAGTAACTTAAACAATGACACTTACAAGAGAAAAAAAGCTATCAGCACTTTGAAAATGAAGAATTGACAAATCTACAATTCTGGAGACTGAAAAGGCAATTTCAAACGCTTGCCTTTGGTGTGGGCCAAGACTCCCACCCAAAGAATGGAGAATGTCAGGAAAGTGAGTAAGAGGAGTGACAGCAGTGTGCTGGGAAAGGGTAGACACACATGCACAGATCAAGGACCTTCACGAGCTGGGTTTGGGAAATGGAAGCTAAACTGCGTTATCAGAAACATCATCTTCCATGATATATTGTAAAGGAAATGAAATGTAGTATCCTGTAGACATGCTCCCACACGCACACATGGACAGGAAGTGTAGTATATACGTCCTGTAGACATGCTCCCACACGCACACATATAAAGGAAGTATAGTATATATATGTCCTGTAGACATGCTCCCACATGCACACATATAAAGATGGGGCTCATACGCTGGGCAGTGGCTCACACCTGTACCCCCAACATTTTGGGAGGCAGAAGTGGATGGATCACTTGAGGCCAGGAATTTGACACCAGCCTGGCCAACAAGGCGAAACCCAGTCTCTACTAAAAATACGAAAATTAGGGTGTGGTGGCATGTGCCTGTAGTCCCAGCTACTCAGGATGCGGAGGCTGCAGTGAGCTGAGATTGTGCCACTGCACTCCAGTCTGGGCAACAGAGCGAGACTGTCTCAAAAAAAAAAAAAAAAAAAAAAAAAAGATGAGGCCCACAGAAATACACACATGTAAATAAGCTCCCTGAATAAAACAAATCAGTGTCTTGGTCCATCTGAGATGCTATGGCAAAACACCATAAATGAGGTAGCTTATAACAGCAGAAAATTTCTGGAGGCTGGAAGTCTAAGACCAAGGTGCCAGCATGGTTGGTTTCTGGTGAGGCCCTGCTTCCCAGGTCACAGATGGCACACGGCACCTTCCCACGGAACAAGGAGCCTCTTTTGTAAGAGCAGGAATCACATCTAATCACCTCTTTCCCTCCCAAAGGCCCACCTCCAAATACCATCACATTAGCGATTAAGTTTTCAACACAGGAATTTGGCGGGGGCCAGGGCGAGGGGTTACAAACATTCAAACCATAGCATCCAGGAATGAGATTTCTTTTTCTGCTCCCTGGCTGGTTAATTTTGATTATTTCCCCTTCCTAATTTTTAACTAATTTCTATCATTTTTTTCTGCACTTTCACTTTGTTGAAAAATACTTGTGATTTCCTTTCATTTCTACAATTCAGGAAAGTAAACATTAAATCACATGTGCTGTCAGAAAAAATGCTCATCATCACTGGCCATCAGAGAAATGCAAATCAAAACCACAATGAGATACCATCTCACACCAGTTAGAATGGCAATCATTAAAAAGTCAGGAAACAACAGATGCTGGAGAGGATGTGGAGAAATAGGAACACTTTTACACTGTTGGTGGGATTGTAAACTAGTTCAATCATTATGGAAAACAGTATGGCAATTCCTCAAGGATCTAGAACTAGAAGTACCATACGACTCAGCCATCCTATTACTGGGTATATACCCAAAGGATTATAAATCATGCTGCTATAAAGACACATGCACACGTATGTTTATTGCGGCACTATTCACAATAGCAAAGACTTGGAATCAACCCAAATGTCTGCCAATGACAGACTGGATTAAGAAAATGTGGCACACATATGCCATGGAATACTACGCAGCCATAAGGACACAGAGTTTGTGTCCTTTGTAGGGACATGGATGCAGCTGGAAACCATCATTCTCAGCAAAATATCGCAAGAACAGAAAACCAAACACCGCATGTTCTCACTCATAGGTGGGAACTGAACAATGAGATCACTTGGACTCGGGAAAGGGAACATCACATACCGGGGCCTATCACGGGGAGGGGGTAGGGAGGGATTGCATTGGGAGTTATACCTGATGTAAATGACAAGTTGAAGGGTGCTGACGAGTTGATGGGTGCAGCACACCAACATGGCACAAGTATACATATGTAACAAACCTGCACGTTATGCACATGTACCCTAGAACTTAAAGTATAATAAAAAAAAAAAAAAAGAAAATGTAGCACTCATGAGATTACCCTAATTAAAACTGTCTTAGAAGAACAATGAAAATCAGGGGTGTCATTTGGGAAAAACCGGCTCTAATGGTGCGACAAGAACCTTTTGCAGGTTTTCCTGACAGGTGGAAGGGGAGGGCCCATCAGCAGGATCTCACTTTTTTTTTTTGAGACGTAGTCTTGCTATTGTCGCCCGGGCCGGAATGCAATGGCGTGATCTCAGCTCACTGCAACCTCCGCCTCCAGGGTTCCAGCAATTCTCCTGCTTCAGCCTCCTGAGTAGCTGAGATTACAGGTGTCTGCCACCACACCCGGCTAATCTTTGTATTTGTAGTAGAGACGGGGTTTCACCATATTGGCCAGGCTGGTCTCAAACTCCTGACCTCAGGTAACTCACTTGCCATGGCCTCCCAAAGTGCTGGGATTACAGGTGTGACACCCACCCCGCCCGGCTGATCTCACTGTTTTTAATCATATGTTGTATTCATGTGAATACTTGTGACAGGAAATTGGATGCTCTGTTTTCCATTTTCGTTTAAAATCATTTGGCAATATTCCTCATAGACACTGAAAAGCATTTTAAATTTAAAATATTCTCTTTTTAATTATCGCTAATGCAAGTGTAAATAAGGAGTCATCCATTGAAATAACCTGGAATAAAAATTCAGTAACAGCTGTGGAAATGAGTGTGTCTGAGATGTGGCCCTCCGTGTAAAAGATCAAATCCAATTTCTAGAGTAACAGCTGTGGAAATGAATGTGTCTTAGATGTGGCCCTCCGTGTAAAAATTCAAATCCAATTTCTAGAGTAATAGCTGTGAAAAAGAGTGTGTCTGAGACGAGGCCCTCCGTGTAGGGCACAGGCTTCTGGAGTTCCTTCCAGAAGAGAACCCAACGTGTGGTCCATGGTGCTACACACACGCTTTCCCACTCCCGGAGTGCAACGGAGGATGTTTTCACAAGCTCTGACGTAGTCTCTCTAATACACAATTTCTAGAATTTATTAAAACATTATATAGAGTGGCCTTTAAAATTAACTCTTGACACAATGACGAACAGTCAAATGTTCTCTTTAATTCAAACAATGAAGAGAGATGTAATAGTCATTTTCCATATTATATTTGGAAAGATACTATAAAATGAAAATTACATATATAATAAAACATTTTTGGAAAATTATTTTGGCTATCCTTTAAAAAAATGCTGCTTAACTTTTGTAAAAACCAATGTCAATGCATTTTAATTATGTTTCTGTGATAAGTACTTTTAAGGTTTTAGTCTACGATTGATTGATTAACAGAATAAGGAACACGCCCTACAATAGCTTTTCTCAACTTCTCTCTCAAAACAATTCCATTTATTTAAAAACCATTTATAGTGCTCAGATCCATACTTGGTAAATTATAGGTTCATGTGATGGAGAATAATAGCGACACCAGAGAATTCAATGTATATGAAAATGGAATAGCAAAACTGTAGGAAAATATTTGTTCCGTGAAACAATGATGTGAGCCACTAAAAATAAACTCTGAAGCTTAGCCTCCTCTTCCTTAACTGTTTGTATGTAGAACCCTACCCCGACACTTGTACATTCCTGACCTGTTTCAGATACTACGAACTCACAGAAAGAAAGGCTGTTCTTTGGATATACTTCAGCTAACCTGTAGGTGAACTTTGTTTTTCCTTACCTCTCATTAAGTTTTAAGATACTACTCATGAAAATATAACCTTTTTTCCAGTTAAAATAACCCTTCTTTATCTTCTCTTTCTGGTTCCAGAACTCATCAAAATATACTTTCAGTGGTGGGGAAAAGATAAGATTGTTGATTCCAGCAGAATATCAAGAATCTATCCCGCTAAACTCCATGGACGTCTACCAAGCAACAACTAGATTTCAGGCACTGGGGCTGTGGCAGCAACATGCCCTGACCACGGCCATCCTTCTGTCTCTTTTCTCTCTCCACTGCTGTGGACCTGGACCAGGGTGGTGGAGAAAGAGGCAGAGCACTGCCGCAGATGGTCCAGGGTAAACCTGCCACAGCATCTTCCTTCCATTATTTTAGGACTTTATTAGATGAATACATTAATCATGAGCCAAGAGTTTAAATAAAAACTAGTATTTGTGCAGTTCTGGTAAAAGATGCTTTCCATAACTGATCCATTCTTAAGACTTTTATCATAGAATGGAAAGATCTGTGGTTCATTTAAAGAAAGGCTGTCTGTACCTGGAACAGTCATCTGCAGTGGCCTGACGAGGTCCGGGTGCCTCAGTGGGTTCCCAGGATATACAAACCACTCCTTGACAGCCGGGCAGGTGCTGGCAACATCTGAAGAAAAAGAGTTGGGTCAGTAGATGTGCAAGAGCACGCGTCGCCAAGCTCACAGTGTCACAGACCCAGCTCTGCCCAGGTGGCCAATTCAAAGTCCATAAATAGGTGAGCTCTCAAATCCAAGGTGACTAAGTAACCTTAGTTATCCAACAATTAGTTTCTTACCCTCCAATCTGAAGGTAACCTGTTCATTCCATCAAGAACCATACTCTGTGGAACTGACAAAATCCTCAAGATAATCTGGGTAAGTAAACAATAATATGGGAGAGAGAGTTTACCATGTTAATGACTCCTATGATGTCCTTCCTCCCTACCCCCCTCACACTGTTCCAGTAAACACTTAAAGAAAACTACTGGAATTTGATAGTCAACATGGATACAGTTCTTTAAAGCAAGACCAGGTAAAGAAAGACAGTGGGTGTAGCTGAGGAACTCTAAAGGGAAGAAGTAAGCAGAGAGCAGGTGCTTAAGGGGGAAGGCAAGAAGAGGTGGTGTCCCTAGATGCCAGACATTCCAGCACAAATGTGATCATCAGTCAGACAGCTGGTCCAGTTGGGCAGAGGGCTTCGATGTGGGGCAGAGAGAGGCAGTGGGCTGAATCCAGGGCTGGGGGAAGCAGGCCTTGATGAAGAGAAGAAGAAGGGGCACTTTTCTATAAAAGAGCTGAGAAACGAAGTAGAGAGATGTTCCCTTAAAGTAGAAGAAAAAGACAAGAACAGGAATCAAAGATGAAGAAAGAGAGTATCAATCCAGGAAGCCCCACCTGCATTTCACAGCAGTTCTAGGAGAGAACTGAGACAACAGAGATTTGCTAAACACAGGATAAAGAGAACATCTCAAAACCTTCTAACCATGAATCACTCCAGCACTCCATTTTGCACTTGGCATTATCAGCACCTGCGATGCCACAGGACCGTGGCGGTGGCTGTGATGAAGGAGAGTTACTGAGCGGGGGACTGTGGCGGTGGCTGTGATGGAGCCACTGAGCAGGAGACCGTGGTGGTGGGCGCTTGCGAATGGGCAGAGCCACCGACCTGCCTTCCTACCGTCAACACCAGAACTGAAGAAAGGGCTCTAGTGACTGCATTCATGTGACGGGCGATGCACGGGGCCAGACGGTTATCCCGGACAGAAGGGAAACAACCCTCTATCACGCCAATTTTCTGCCCATAGGCACTGTCCAGATTGTATCCTAGTGAGGGAGGTAGTCCTCACAGGAGGACACACAGACTGGAGACCAAGACTACTGAGGCCACGATCTGCAGGACAGAGCATCAGAGAGCAGGGCAGTGTGCAGAGAGCAAGTGCTCTTTAGCCTCCGGCTGAAGAGAGAGCTGTCGGGTTTAGGGTAAGACTCAGAGAAGCCAGGCAAGGTCCTGGGGCTGACCGACCAATGGAGCTTGCACGGGGCTTGAAGACAGCGGAGTTTCCACCACCAGCAAACATGAAGAGGCCTCATCCTACACCTCGGGCACTCTGGTGATAGCCCGGAAGGCCCTGTCTTAGGAGTAGGCCTGTGCTAGTGGTAAAGTGAAAGCCACAATGGACACAGCCTAATGAAGTTTAAAGGTAAGTCTCGGCAGGAGCAGGCAGAGTAACTGCCTGACAGAACAAAACTCAACACTCTTCTTAGTATCCAAAACGTTCTAGTATCCAATCAAAAAACGCCAGACGTGAAAGTAAGCAAAACAATGTGGACCCTGTGGGAGGAAGTCAATAAATGGCCCAGAGGAAGAGGCAAAAGAGACTGAGAAAGACAAAATCTTATTTTAAAAATGCTCATCTCTTCCAAATTTGATAGGAAATATCAACCCATAGATTTAGGAAGCTCAAGAATCCCATGAAGGGAGCGGAGTGAACCTTACTTAAAATCCAGCAAACAGGAGAGGAATTGTAAAGACAGCCAGAGGAAGAAAAGCCATGATACACATGGGAAATAATGATAAAGATGAGCCTTATTGTCTCATAAGAAAGTACACAAGCCAGGAGAAAATAGAGAACTACCTAAAATTCTATATGCAGCAAAACTGTACCCCCAAACAAAGATGAAATACAGTCCCGCAGGGCATAACAATGATCCGGTTAGTGACGGACTGCATACACATTCCTGGTGACGCCTTGATGATCTTGACCCCGTGGAGTCCTAGACTAAATTTGTGTGCTTGTGTCTGAGTTTTTAACAAAGAAGTTTAAAAAAATTAAACATTTCTAAAGTATGAATTCAGGAGGTAGAGTTAAAAAATCTTCCAATAGAAAAAGGCTTATATAATGACATAAAGAATTTTTTGTCCAGTTGTATAATGTATTTGTATTTTAAGTTTTAAGTTAGGTGTTAATTACAAAAGAGTCAAAAAGTTAAATAAATTTAAGTTTATAAAGTAAAAAAGTTAGAGTAAGGTTAATTTATTGTTGAGGAAAGAAATATTTTTTATGAATGTATGATAGCCCTAAGTGTGCGGTGTGTATAAAGCCTACAGCAGTGTACGGTCGTGTCCTGGCCTTCCCATTCACTCTCCACTCACTCACTGGAGTCACTGGAGCAGCCTGTGTGTGCAGTGTCTATAAAGCCTACAGCAATGTACGGTCATGTCCTCGCTTCCCATTCACTCCCCACTCGCTCACCAGCCTCACCAAAGCAGCCTGCGTGTGCAGTGTGTATAAAGCCTACAGCAGTGTATGGTCATGTCCTGGCTTCCCACTCACTCCCCACTCACTCATGGACTCACGAGAGCAGCCTGTGTGTGCAGTGTGTATAAAGCCTATAATTTAAAGTGGGTATTGGCAAACTACCAGCTCATGGGTCAAATCTGCCTGCTTTTATACAGTCTGAAAACTAATAATGTTTTTTCATATTTTTTTAATGGTTGGAAAAAAATGTTTTTAAGAATATTTTGTGACTCCTGAGAATTATACTCTCTAAAATTCAAGTATTGACCTGGTGCAGTAACTTGCATCTGTAATCCCAAAACTTTGGCATGTTGAGGTGGGAGGAGCGCTTGAGGTCAGGAGTTTGAGACCAGCCTAGGTAACACAGCGAGATCCTATCTCTTCAAAAAAAAATTTTTTTTTAATTAGCTGGGTGTGGTGGCGCATGACTGTCATCTCAGTTACTCCAGAGGCTGAGGCAGGAGGACCCCTTCAGCCTTGGAGCTGAAGGCTGCAGTGAACTGTGATGGTGCCACTGCACTCCAGCCTGGGCAACAGAGTGAGACTCTGTCTCTAAAAAACAAATCAATCAATAAAATAAAATTCAAGTTCTGTCACATGGGAACATTGAATAAAGGCTTCCTGGCACACAGCCACACTCATTCCTGCACATGTTGTCTCTGCTTGTTCTTGCACTACAATAGCAGGATTGGGTAGTTGTGACAGGGACTGTGGAGGGAGCCCTCAAAACCTACAATATTTATTATTATCTGACCCTTCACAGAAAAAGTGTGCCAACCCCAATTTAAAAGTGTTAAAATCATGTATTATACGGTTTAAAACATACGCATAATCTCCAAACGTTACATATTGGTTACATACTGTATGCTGCTATTTATATAACATTCTCAAATGAACAAGAACATAGAGATGAAAAACAGACTAACAGTTGCCAGAGGACAGGAATGGGGGGAAGAAAGATTACCAGGACATAGGGGCACATGGAGGGAGTGCTAACAAACCAGTTCCATATCTTGGCTGTGGTGGTGGTTGCGGGATCTTTGCACGGACCTACACACCCACACACATAACTGCATGCATGTAAAAAACGGCACAAGTGAATAAGGTCTGCAGTTTGGTTAGCGCTGTACCTGATGTTAAATTTCTGGCTTTGATATTACACCACAGTTATAGAAGATGTCATTTTTGGAGGAATCTGAGTGAAGGGTACATGGGAATCTATGTACTATTCTTGCAACTTCCTGTGAATCTGTAATTATTTCAAATTTAATATACATATATATGTATAAGACATAAAACAACAATAGCAAAAATGTTGGGGAAAATGAAAATACACAGTTATAAGGTTTTTATATTGCAAGTAACATGGTATATTATTTGATAGTAAACGGTGATGTTAAAGATATTAAAAGTAATTGCAAAAACCGCAATTACTTTTGTACCAATCTAACAGACCCCCAGATCAACCACTTTTTTTTTTTCTTTTGAGACTAAGTCTCGCTCTTGTCCCCAGGCTGGAGTGCAATGGCATGACCTTGGCTCACTGTAACCTCTGCCTCCTGGGCTCAAGCAATTCTCCTACCTTAGCCTCCCGAGTAGCTGGGATTACAGGCGTCTGCCATCACGCCCAGCTAATTTTTATGTTTTTAGTAGAGACAGGGTTTCACCATGTTGGCCAGGCTGGTCTCAAACTCCTGACCTCAGGTGATCTGCCCACCTCAGCCTCCCAAAGTGCTGAGATTACAGGCATGAGCTACCATGTTCAGCAAACCACTTTTTTTTTTTTAAATGGTAAATCTAGTAATCCAAATGAGTGCACAAAACACAATACTAAAAATTATTAAACTAATCCAAAAGAAGTAAGAAAATGAGAAAATAAGGTGGGGGGAAAAAGAACAGAGTAAAATGGAAGAGTGAGCCCTAATTACGCCAGAAGTTACATTCAGTGTGAACATTCCAATTAAAAGAAAGAGACTGTGACACTGGACGTGCCGTCTTTAAAACAGATGCACTTTAAATGTTAAGAAATAGTTTAAAAGTAAAAGGATAGGAAAAAACACCACATCATGCAAACATTAACAGTAAGAATACTGGAGTGACTATATTACAATAAAACAAAGACAACTTTAGGACAAGGAGTATTACCATGTTTTTAAAAGCAAACTCTCCTATTAAAAGGGTTGATTCATTAAGAAACATAACAGTCCTCAATATATACGCACCTAACAACAGTTTCAAAATACCTACAGCAAAAACTGACAGAACAGAAGGAATAAATAGACAAATCCACAGTAAGAGCTGGAGTTTTTAACTGTTTTCTCTCAGGAACTAAGAACAAGTAGACAGAAACTCAGTAAAAGACTTGAATAACCTTATTAGCACTACTGACTTCTACAGAACACTCTACTCCACAACTGTAAAATACACATTTTCAAATACAAATGGGATCATAAACTAAGTCAAACACATAACATAGAATACACTTCATTATCATCATATATAAATCAGCAAAAACAGCATTTTATTTTCACATATTAATAATGTAAACTTCATGTAGAAAGCCAAAAAGTTGAGGGAGAAAGAACTAAATATCAACCATGAAGACAAGTTCAATGTGAATGTTTTTTCCTGTTTATGTGGTTATCTAATAAAGTTATCCACTTGGTCGTAAATACATTACATTAACAAAGTATGAAATTTAGGTTAGTGAAGTTTACATAGTTTAATTTAATGAAAGAGTCTGAAAATAACTCCAATATTATGATTTAATGTAAAAACGTTTTCATGAGGAAGATCTCTTTTTTCCATCATTAGAGTCAATGTGCAAATATCCATGTTAAGAAAGAATGTGGGTGGAGAGCACCTAAGAAAAAGAAATTTTAAAAAATGATTTAAATATGTGCAAAAATCACAAGCATTCTTATACACCAGTAACAGACAAACAGAGAGCCAAATCATGAATGAACTCCCATTCACAATAGCTTCAAAGAGAATAAAATACCTAGGAATACAAATTACAAGGGATGTAAAGGACCTCTTCGAGGAGAACTACAAACCACTGCTCAGTGAAATAAAAGAGGACACAAACAAATGGAAGAACATTCCATGCTCATAGATAGGAAGAATCAATATTGTGAAAATGGCCATACTGCCCAAAGTAATTTATAGATTCAATGCCATCCCCATCAAGCTACCAATGACTTTCTTCACAGAATTGGAAAAAACTGCTTTAAAGTTCATATGGAACCAAAAAAGATCCCGCATTGCCAACACAATCCTAAGTCAAAAGAACAAAGCTGGAGGCATCATGCTACCTGACTTCAAACTATACTACAAGGCTACAGTAACCAAAACAGCATGGTACTGGTACCAAAACAGAGATATAGACCAATGGAACAGAACAGAGTCTTCAGAAATAATACCACACATCTACAGCCATCTAATCTTTGACAAACCTGACAAAAACAAGAAATGGGGAAAGGATTCCCTATTTAATAAATGGTACTGGGAAAATTGGCTAGCCATAAGCAGAAAGCTGAAACTGGATCCTTTCCTTACTCCTTATATGAAAATTAATTCAAGATGGATTAGAGACTTAAATGTTAGACCTAATACCATAAAAATCCTAGAGGAAAACCTAGGTAGTACCATTCAGGACATAGGCATGGGCAAAGACTTCATGTCTAAAACACCAAAAGCAATGACAACAAAAGCCAAAATTGACAAATGGGATCTAATTAAACTAAAGAGCTTCTGCACAGCAAAAGAAACTACCATCAGAGTGAACAGGCAACCTACAGAATAGGAGAAAATTTTTGCAATCTACTCATCTGACAAAGGGCTAATATCCAGAATCTACAAAGAACTCAAACAAATTTACAAGAAAAAAACAAACAACCCCATCAAAAAGTGGGTGAAGGATATGAACAGACATTTCTCAAAAGAAGACATTCATACAGCCAACAGACACATGAAAAAATGCTCATCATCACTGGCCATCAGAGAAATGCAAATCAAAACCACAATGAGATATCATCTCACACCAGTTAGAATGGCGATCATTAAAAAGTCAGGAAACAACAGGTGCTGGAGAGGATGTGGAGAAATAGGAACACTTTTACACTGTTGGTGGGATTGTAAACTAGTTCAACCATTATGGAAAACAGTATGGCGATTCCTCAAGGATCTAGAACTAGAAGTACCATATGACCCAGCCATCCCATTACTGGGTATATACCCAAAGGATTATAAATCATGCTGCTATAAAGACACATGCACACGTATGTTTATTGCGGCACTATTCACAATAGCAAAGACTTGGAATCAACCCAAATGTCCATCAGTGACAGACTGGATTAAGAAAATGTGGCACATATACACCATGGAATACTATGCAGCCATAAAAAAGGATGAGTTCGTGTCCTTTGTAGGGACATGGATGCAGCTGGAAACCATCATTCTCAGCAAACTATCGCAAGAACAGAAAACCAAACACCGCATGTTCTCACTCATAGGTGGGAATTGAACACTGAGATCACCTAAACATGGGAAGTGGAACATCACATACCAGGGCCTATTGTGGGGAGAGGGGAGGGGGGGGTTGGCACTGGGAGTTATACCTGATGTAAATGACGAGATGAAGGGTGCTGACGAGTTGATGGGTGCAGCACACCAACATGGCACATGTATACATATGTAACAAACCTGCACGTTATGCACATGTACCCTAGAACTTAAAGTATAATAATAATAAAAAAATGATTTAAATAACATTTGGCTCCAGAGTTTATTACACAGGTTCTTTATTTCCGTTTTTAAATCAGCTTAAACATCTTTCTTCTGTCTGCTTCCTTAGGCCACAGGGGTAAACTCTCGCAGTATGTATGGGAGAAAGCAGTGCACGCTGGGTGGCGCTACGGGAATCTAACGAAAGCTGGATTAAATAACCCCACTACCCCTGAGCCCCATCATCCAAAAATAATAATGATGACTTTTCCATATGATGATTCTATCAGCACTTTTAGATCATGTAAATGTTCACTTTCTGGAACAACAGAGTAAGGTTAATATTGACACGTTTGGAAATAATGACATTTAGGCAAATGGACCACTTTCACCGGTATTCTACTCCTTCTCTCTCTCATCCTGGTAATAGTGTAGACCATGTTTCTTATCAACACACTCTCAAATCAGACTGTAAAGTACCTGTCAAAGGTCTCTGTTTAAAAAAACAAGGCCTTAACTGAAATAGGAGGTCACTAAATGCATTCAGCATCTCTGGTTTCTAATATGAAGTGTTCTTCCACACTCCTGATTCTCCCCAGAACTATTCCAAACGGTGAGTTATGGGACCTTCACTAACTTTCTCCTTGGGGTTAAAATTCCTCATTTTCACTGTTTGGGTGATTGATGGTGCACTCTCTACTCTTGTTGCTAAGCACATAATGGAAATATAGATGAGAAAAACACAAATTTAATCACAAAAACACCAAAGGAAAATTGTTTGTATTTAAAAACATGACATACTAGATTCTGTAAAATTATTTTATAAAAATCACATTTTGAGGGAAGACTAAGTAGACACTGTTTTCTTCTAATAATAAGTATATCCTACTCTCCCCTACAGCAGGAAAGAGTTTTCACATTTTTAAAAAAGCATAAATCCTTTTAAGGCATAAAAATATGACATTTTATAGAAATCATGCATTCTTTTAACACATACTGATCAACAGCCTGCTAATTAGATATAGATGTCAAATGGCACTTATACTTAGTTTTTTATAGATGTCAGTGGTATTCTCAATTACAGATTTGACAGGGAAATAAAACCTATTTAATTGTCTCCATGTCCTGAAAGAATGCACTCTATTTCATGTGGCCAGTTTCTCAGAATTCAACTCCAAACAGAACCTTTCCTAAGAGGGGCCAACCAATTCTCACCTTGACAGTCCTCCAGTAAGAGTGAGTAGACTCGCTGTCGGATGGGACGGTAAATGAAGGCCTGGCTGGGTAAGGCCTGGTCAAGCTCATCTTCCAGGGTGTTGCTGCATTCAATCTCTCCACTGCTCATGATGTTGTACACCAGGTAGCTTTCTGCTTGGACGTGATGTGTTCTAGCAATCTGTTTGAAATTTAAATACAACTGGATTTCTCCTTAAAAACAAGACAGTAACCTTCAAATCAAATAGAAAAAGTCAATGCCTTTCATCATACGGCAGTTTTTTAAGGCCCTCAGAAATGTAATTGACACTGAAATTCATGACATCAAGTTGCCATGTTCTCTTTCCTTCAGACTACCAATTTCAAACTTTCTATTCCCCCTCCTCCGCCTCTCTCCAAACGTCTACGTCTCATCTTCTGCAGTATTTCACTGTTCTGTCTCCTGGATACCCTCCCAGTAACTGGGTATTCACTACTTCTCACCAGTACTGCTATGAAAGGGTCTTAATCCCCTAGCCCAGTTTCTCTCCTTTCCAACCCATCCTTCACACCATTGCCACACTGTCTTTGAAAACTTTGCTACCCTATTCAAAACATTTGAAAGGCTACCACAAATCCTTCGCATAACATTCGAGGTCCCACTATGAAGCCTCAATCTCCTTTTTCTAGCCTTGTACACCATTTCACCCTCATAGAAATGGCCATAATCCAGTCTCAACAGAACATCTTCATTGTTCCTCAAGAGTACTCAATCTTCTTCTACCTTCACTTGTGCTCCATAAGAACTTACCCTACCCAGAATCTCTCTTCCACTCTTTCCCAGCCTCCCACTTTACAATCCTCTTTCCCTTTAAGGTTCGCCAATGTCACCCTCTCCTCCTCCCTTAGACAGGACCAACCTCCAGCTTGCCTTATGGAGCTCGTATCCTATTTTCCCTGTAACACAGCTGTCTGGTCTGCCTCCCTTATTAAGCTGTAAGCTGCTTAGCATTAGAAGCCGTACTGTATTCATTCACTCATTTGTTCAGAAATTGCTTCATGAGTGAAAACCACATGCCAGGCACAGGTGCTTCTCCTCTGTAATGTCAAGACAGTGCTGGCTCATGGTAGGTGATGAGACATAAGATTTAAATTAATTCCACTTTCTCATTAAATAAGTAGTTAAAATCAGAAGGTCTATCATAGCCTAAATATGTAGGTTTTACCTTCCAGTGAAGAACATTACTACTGTGAGAATAAGTTCATCTAGATTACTATTCAAAATTTAAATCCAGTCTACTACTAAAGGCACTAAAATGTGATGCTAGGATAACCTGGATACTAGGAACTCTGAATCCTAAGCGTCTCATTTATATGGACTTAAACAGTCCTACTTATGTTGATTCATTATTCCTAGGCTTCAGTCTTAATCTCTGTTCCTTACCTTCTTCCTAAAGAAAATGGGTTTAATAAAAAAGTGCCCGGCTCCCAGGACTATTGTGAGGATTAGAGTCAATATAAGAAAAACACTTGTCCTGAGGTGTGGCTTGCAGCTCACTGCCAATGCATGTTCTATAGGATTATAAGACTAGACGGCCAGGCGTGGTGGCTCATGCCTATAATCCCAGCACTTTGGGAGGTTGAGGCAGGTAGATCACTTGAGGTCAGGAGTTCAAGGCCAGCCTGGGCAACATAGTGAAACCCATCTCTACTAAAAAATACAAAAATTAGCTGGTCGCGGTGGAGCGCGCCTATAGTCCCAGCTACTCAGGAGGCTGAGGTGGGAGAATTGCTTGAACCTGGGAGGTAGAGGATATCCTGCCACTGCACTGCAACCTGGGTGACAGTGAGACCCTGTCTCAAAGAAACAAACACTCAACTGATCTTCCAAAATGCTGACATAGAGAAGACACAGATATATGGCTGTGGTTATGTGGGTACCCAATGTAACTGCTGTGCCCACAGCCTTTCTACCTGAGCATTTTTCCAGGGTGACTGTGTATAGTTGATATAGTTGAAATACATGTTGGAATTTTAGTTGCCTATTAGGGTTGGAAGATGACACTGCAAAAAATTTTTATAGAGAAAGTGTAAGGGCAATGTAAGAAACTTCAAAACTGTTTCCAAAGATATAAGTAAGTTAAATCCATGTGAACAACTCGACCCACCACTTTGCCCAGGCACTCCCTTCCTGTGAGGACTCTCCTTGACCCCGCCTTCCCCAACAAAGGCTCTTCCACTGCCAAACCCCCTGCTGGCTTTCCCTCCACTCCCAACCCTGTGCTGCAGTAACTCTCTGAGGCCACCAGGACCTCCTCATGACTGACCCAAGTGCCTATGTCTAGTCCTATTCCACTTCTTTACCTCTGTAGCATGTGATACTCCTGTTTCTTTTCTCATTCGCGAAACCTGCCCCCTTGGACTTTTGTGGGTATTATCCCCTCCTTATTCTTCCTCCTCTGCTCACTCCAGATCTCTCAGTGGAGTGTCCCTTAGTCTCCATCCCACATCATCTTTTACTTTACACATAAAATAGGATAACTCCCAGATGCCTGTCTCTTGCCAGTAATAGAACTTTAGGCCCATATTTCACTACGAGAACATGTGTTAGAGGTGCCATCTACTCAACTAAAATATAACCCACTTAACCTTCTTCTCCCTGTCAAACCTTTCCTCCTCCTTCCTTAGATTAACAGCATCTACCATCCCTGGCGCTCCAGGAGGAACTTCACCTCCACACCAAGGCTTATTTATTAGTTTCACTTCTGAAACATTTCTTGAATTTGTTTCTTCCTATTTCCACTGCCATTTTCCTAATTCTAGCTCTTTTGTATTTTACCTGAGTTTCTGCAATGGCCATTTTAACTCCACTCACTGCACTGTAATGTTTCTAAAACCAAAAATCTGATCACATCAATATACCTGCTTACAAAAATCGAATGCTGGTTGGTTGGCAGGTTCACATCACTGCCCTCCAGGTCTCATCACACAGCTGCTCAGCTGCTGTCCAGGCCTGAGTTCTGCATCAGACTTGGGGCAGGAGCTTCCTTACAGATCTATGTAGTTGTAACTAGATGAAAGATGGTGGCATTCAAAGCACCGGGTACAAGGAAAGGTGTGTGGTTAAGATAGTTAAGTTTGCTTTAGAACTTGCTGAGGTACCTTTGAGACATTCATGTGGACACAGACCTCTTCTGTAAAACAAGGATAAGTCTATCTCACAGGGCTGCTGAGAAGATCTAATGAGAAAAGTTACCTAATGCACCTACCACAGAACCTCATACATAGTGGCCCCCTTCAAAAATCTTCAAAGGTGCTATAATACTTTCAGAATTAAGTCCAAATTCCTCATGAGGCATTTAATAACCTTCCCAATTTGGCTTTGTCTACCTTTTCCCATTTTTTTTCTCCAAACCCCATGCTCCAGCCTGGCCTTTCTCCCTGTGCCCCCGAGTGATGCAGATTCGAAACCTGCACCTTTAGTACTTCCACAACTCCCAAGTATTTGCTTATTCAATGCATACTTTGCCTGCCTCATTAAGGTCTGGCTCCAGTTCTACCTCTTTGGGGAATTTTTCCCTGTACTTTATTTTTGTTACAGAGTTTTGCTCTCATTGTCCAGGCTGGAATGCAAATGGCATGATTTCAGCTCACTGCAACCTCCGCCTCCCGAGTAGCTGGGATCACATGTGTGTGCCACCATGCCCAGCTGAATTTTGTATTTGTAGTAGAGATGGGGTTTCACCATATGGGTCAGGCTGGTTTTGAACTCCTGACCTCAGGTGATCCACCTGCTTTGGCCTCCCAAAGTGCTGGGATTACAGGTGTGAGCCACTGTACCCAGCCTTCTCCCTGTACTTAACCCACAAAGCTCTCTTTCTCTCTTGTATTCTTACAGCACTTTTCTGTAATATTCATGTGATAGTATCCAACACCGGTTATGAGTTTTCACACGTATAATGTCACACCTCCTAACAAGCCTTATAGACTCCTGTTGTGCATCCTCTCACAGTGGCCAAACACCAAGGCAGTAATAGATCTTCACCAACAAATCCGTCAGTGGGTATATTTTCAATCATGGCATACTGGTTGGGCACAGCCACATACCTTTAAGATTTCTGTGTCTGAAACCATGGTTACTTGTTGCTTTATTTCAGGCCCCACATTTGTGGGGTCTTCTTGTTTAATTTCAGGGTTTGTACACATGAGAGCTTCTAGCTTAAATTCAAAATCTGTTGCTACAGGTAATTTTTGATTGATTTCAGTGTGTGTACACATGGAGTCTTCTTGCTTGGATATAGGATCTGTACATATGGGAAGTTCCTGTTTGGATTCATGGCCTGTACACAAAATTTCTTGCCTAGATTCAGGGTCTGTCCGTATTAAAACTTCTTGCCCAGACTGAGGGCCTGTACACATGGGAACTTCTTGCCTGGGTTCAGAGTCTGTACACATGGGAACTTCTTGCCTGGATTCAGGGCCTGTACACATGGGAACTTCTTGCCTGGATTCGGGGCCTGTACACATGGGAACTTCTTGCCTGGGTTCAGGGTCTGAACACATGGGAACTTCTTGCCTGGATTCAGGGCCTGTACACATGGGAACTTCTTGCCTGGGTTCAGGGTCTGAACACATGTGAACTTCTTGCTTGGATTCAGGGTCTGAACACGTGGGAACTTCTTCCCTGGACTCAGGGTCCGAACTCATGAATATTACTTGTTTGTCCAAAGTTATTACACCTTTGGGTTTTTGGAAAAACCATGGAGATTTCTGTCCTGGTAAAAGATACGATGCCATTCCTTTATAAAAAAGAGCTTTGTTTGGTCCCAGAGGTAATAACTCTTCTAATTTTCTCTCACCTTGATACAAGTGAAGAACTTTCGATATATGGTCTGACACAGCTAATATGATGTTACCTTTTTTGTCAAAGTTCTCTTTTACAGAGGTATAGGATGATAAGCATTTGTACCTAAAGCTTTCAAACATGCCCTCTGGGATGATGTCATTGCCAAGGAGGCAGGCCAGAAGAGGAAGGTCGGCTACACGGAGGCCCAGACTCTCACAGAGCTTCTCTCTGCAGAGCATGACAGTGTCCAGGCTCTCGAGGCAGAGCTCGCTAATTGAAAAGTAGGGACAAGTGTCATAGATTAGGTAATCAGTGTCTTCCCCTAGAATCCCAAGGCATTTATGCTGGAGGCCATAGGAAGCTACTTCATAATCTGCTTCCTGTAAGGAACACAAAGTTTCCTGGCCCAGTGTCTTTAGAGCAAATCGTGTAAACACAGCTAGCCCTGAGGGGATGAAAAACATATTTCTGCCTGGCTGCTCCTTGTGTGACTTGATGTAATGAAAAATCCTGGATATCTCCCTATTGTTCTTGAGCCTTCGTTTCACCCATTCATCTCTCTTATCCTGCTCCACCATGCCATCAAAGAAGAATATCAACTTGATCCCAACCGCCGTAAAAGTTTTAACAAAATCTCGCAAAGCAGAAAAGTATTCTCGCCACTGGCCACCGCAGATCCAAGACTCTGGAGTATACCAGTATCTGAGACAACACATGGCATCAACCACAATGGTAGGGGTACATCCAGGATACTTGCTTCGGTGGTGCTCTGCCAGTTCTTTGAAATTTACTACTGTACATATATGTGGACAGGTACTTCCCACAAATCCTTGCAAACCTCTCACACCCATAACTGAACTCCGGGAAAGGATCTGGAAAGAAAAATAAATTAATCAGTAATTATGGCATTATCATTAGACGTATGGCACCTTTCAAAGCAAACACAGTAGTTAATATTTACACTCTGTTTCCAAAAACATTCTTGTCTCTGAGGTAACATGATACGCTGGTTAGGAGGCTGAAAAGTTCTCAATTCAAACACATGAGGAACTTTACTGAAGTATAAGTTAATTACTTGAGCTGGGCTTTCACAAGGACAAGAGAGTGTAGCAGTCTTTTAATGTTTTCACTAAGATTATTATTCAAGGTATTTCTTGATAAAATTCAGAAAGAGGTTAAGTTTTCAAAGTAGTAGTATTTCTCACCTAGGGACTCAGAAGTTACTGTCAAAAATCTAAAACATAAATTGAAATACCACATGGATGATTCTCAAGATAATTTTTCTGAGTAAAAGAAGTCAGACAAAAAGAGTACACACTATGACTCGACTTAACATAAAATTCTAGTTCATGAAGCGTTAGGCTAACCCCTAGGGACAGAAAGCAGGTCAGCGGTTGCCTGGGATGGGGACGGACGGTGGAGGGAAGGGTTATCAAGGGTACACTTTTGGGGGTGACAGATACATTCACCACTTAGTGCTCACGGCTTTACAAGTATGTGTGTGTGAAAACTTACCAAACTGTGTGCCGCAAACATGGGTCACATACACCTGAATAAAGGCGTTAAGAAACTCACATAAAATTCACTATGCCTAATGTTGTGGTATCTGAGATAGTGACTGACTGACTTTGCAGAGAAACTGCCCATTTGGAAATTTAAAAACAGATACAAAGTAGTTTACAGTTACAATTTGGAATCTGGAAAAGGTATGAGCACAATATTGTATATGACGTTATAAAAGGCGTTCTTCAAGTAGGCAATGATGGGCGTCAATGGTCAGAAAAACTCCATGCTGACATTCTTTATGATCTATGCTTTTTCCACTACAGTTTTCTTTAAGATTCATGCAGGCTTTATGTCCTTTGATAAAACACAACAAAAAATTCTTAATATGCAAACAGCAACACAAAACCGACGACACCCCTCCTGGACAGGCTGAAGGCAGCAGGCACCAGGTGACTAAGCGCATGGGTATCTCTCGTGTTCAGGGTATTTCCCAGCTGCCAGGCAGAGGTGAGCACTTTACACAGACATTCTAATGTTTAGGGTGACCCTGACGTGTAAGTATTATCCGCTTTATTCTACAAATGAAGAAACTATAAATTGTCAGGTTGAGAAAAGGCATCCTCATAGGACTATCTTTTAAGAATTTACTGATTTTTTTTTTTAGACCAGGTCTCACTCTGTTGCCTCATCTGGAGTGCAGTGGTGTGATCACAGTTCACTGCAGCCTCAACCTACCAGTTCAAGCTACCCTCTTGTCTCAGCTGCCACCACACCTGGATGATTTTTTTTTTTTTAATTTTAGCAGAGACAAGATCTCACTATATTGTGTTGTCCAGGCTGGTCTCAAACTCTCGAACTCAAGTGATCCTCCTACCTCAGCCTCCCAAAGTGCTGAGATTACAGACATGAGCCACTGAGCCCAACCAGAATTTACTGATTTTTAATGGGCTCTAACCCCTAACGGCAGAATTTGAAGGTATCCATTTAATAGCCACATTAATGGGATTTTCATTAATTGCATAATGAAAATATGCAAAAATTGGGTGAACATAAATAACACACATTTTATGTTGACATTTAGAAAAGTCTTGCTCACTTTGGGAGGCCGAGATGGGCGGATCACGAGGTCAGGAGATCGAGACCATCCTCGCTAACATGGTGAAACCCCGTCTCTACTAAAAAATACAAAAAACTAGCCGGACGAGGTGGCGGGCGCCTGTAGTCCCAGCTACTCGGGAGGCTGAGGCAGGAGAATGGCGTAAACCCGGGAGGTGGAGCTTGCAGTAAGCTGAGATCTGGCCACTGCACTCCAGCCTGGGCGAGAGAGCTAGACTCCATCTCAAAAAAAAAAAAAAAAAAAAAGAAAAGTCTTGCTTATAAAGTTATTAAATATAATGGGATACATTCATACATCTACACCAAAATCACTACAGTGTTGTGATTTGTAAAGAGTTTATCTTGGAAACACAGCCAAGGTATTTGAGTTTTTGAAGTGGAAAGTGGGCTTCATATGTGATTATGTCAACTGTAAGGAGGTTCTACGGGATGGACCCCATGTACAGGAAGGTTACACTCTTATTTCTGAAAAAGGGTATTCTTTTTCATTTGTTATTCCAACAGAGTAGACAGGGGACAGGCATTGGAAAGGAAATACAAGAATACAAAGAAGATTGGTCAAAATGGATTTTAAAAGAAGGCTTAGATTTCATCAGCTCTAGACGACTGCTGTATGCCTGGCTTTAATTTAAACAGGGCTTGCATGGTTTGCGGCTGATGAGCTGGCTACAGATAAGCCCCACAAATCTCGAGTGTGACTTGATTTCTATGCTGTGAGGGAAGGCCCCACTTCTCTCACCAAGCTCTGTGCTGGCTGCTGCGGGCCCAGGAGAGGCCCTGGACAGCAAAAAGGAAAAAAAAGGAACAGCATTTGAATACAGTCAAAGCAGAGGACTGAATCTGACTGCGAGCCAGGTCCTAGGGTTCACTGCACGCCCACTGTGGTCAGAAGCCAGCAGCCAGGCGGGCTCTTGGGCCAGGCAGTTCCCAGAGTTGTGGGTTGGACTGCTCAAGACACATAGGACCAATTTCTCACAGTTTAAATCATGAGTTCGAGTGTGACACTACAATATGCTCTTCTACAGTATTCACCAAGAAAAAGTGGGATAGTAAAGGTTTTGGGAACTTGTGATATTAGAGGATGCCTTCCAGTATTTCAGTATCTTCAAAGTGCTATAATACTCACAACATCCATTAATCAATGCAATTAGTGACGTAGTGAATAAAATGTATAAAAAGGTACGGAAAATTCCATGGACATGTCTCTAAATTTTTTCTTTTTTAAGCCTTTCATTGCTAAGACTATATACGGAGGCTTTTCATTCTCTGAAGGTGGTTATTATAGGATGACTGGGGAAAATAATATGTGTATACAAAAGTCATTCTATCTGCAAATTATATAAGAAATTTTCATTATCTAGGTAATCATTGTTTAGAAAGAAAACAGAAGTTATTTCTCATTAGGGAGGAGTCTAACTGCCCTAAATACGGCCTGGGACCCTTTGGGGATCACTCCCTTTAAGGTGGGCCTCACCATCCTGTCTTATCCCAGCACCTGGCACAACATCTGCATGGGACAGGCCCAGTATTTGAATGAATAAATGAATTAATCCAAGGACAGTATATAAAGAGAAATCAGGAATCAGTAAGTTACAGACTTCAATTATCGCCAAAGAAGCAGTGCAAAGTAGAATCACTGCCCTCAAGCAGCTTACAAAGGGTTTGGGAAACAAAGCATCAGCAGGAAATCCTAGTAAGGAGCTGCAGCAGGCGTAAGGTACAGCTGGAGGCTGCCTCGTTCCTGGGGCTGGCTCATTCTCCTGACAGCCAGACCAGTTCCAGGGTATTGGGTTACCAGTAAACGGGGAAGTGGAAAGTGGAAAGAGAAGTCCAGAAGCTCCTTTACTATAATCTTTCAACTTACAGACACTTGAGGTTAAGAGCAATGTGCTCAGCATAAATGAAATTGCCTGACATTGATGGACACACACACAGTGAGGACGACTCGTCTGGCGTCACTCTGGACACAGGGATGAGGGACTTATGGACAGCCCAAGGGCAACTCCCCATATAGACAGCAGCCTCTGCAGGACAACCAATACCCGGCTGCTATAGCCACCTTAACACACTCCCAGCATCTAAGCCATGTCAAAGCATGACTGTCGAAAGCTAGAAGTGTAACTCAGGCAAGTAGTAATGAGCAAGGGCACTTAAGAGACAGCGAAGCTGGATCAGAGCACTAGAGGAGCTCAGGCTCACACAGTGCATCACCAAAGGCACACTGGAATAAGCAAGGTAAGCTGGAGAAAATAAAACCGTAATCTTTGCACAGAAATAATTCACATCTCGAATCTACAAACTAGCACACAACCCCACAATGTCTGTACTCTAATGGAGAGTAAGCAGCAAAGTCAAACAGAGGTAAATCTGTTAGAAAATTAAATAATCTTGGGTTAGTCTGAAACAACAGCCCAGTATGACAATATAAAACACGAAGTCTTTTTTTCTTGTTTTGTTTCCAAGTACAAAGTAATTTTTCTTTCAATGGTAACTTCTGGCTAAGCCTGGGTCCAGGCTCTCCCAGTGATGTCCCCCCATGGCTTGTTGTGGAACATCTGAGGTCTGTTGTTTCTTCTCTCCTCTCCTCCCCTGCCTAAAAAGTGAAACTCATAGGGACGTCTTGAACACCAGTTGGGTGAGAACAGGCACCAAAAACCCCAGGAGATTAATAGTTATCCCTCGCCAGCACACAGGACAGCATCTGCTGAAGGTTTATAATTTATGAATGCACAAACAACCAGGTGAATAAATAAGGGTGGGTGCCAGTTAAGTTGGTCTTGATGCTTCAGAGGATCTCCATACAGGGATCATTAAACTGCTGAGCTTTGCAAGAATTTCCAACCACTGATAAAGACTCTCACCTTCACCACACTTTTGCTAGGGCCTTGAGCCCTCTTCTCTACCAGGCCTCAATCTGGGGCTTTTAGCAAGAATCCTGCTCAGTTTAGAGAGAACCCACCTTTGATATCTGGCCACCCTGGCCTGCCTTCAGCAAGAATTTCCTTGTCCCCGATGTCTTCCCTCAGAAATGCCCACCCCTCACCCTCACTCTGCTCGTTGGCTGTAAATCCCCAGCTGTCCTCACCGTGTTCAGAGTGGAGCCAGATCTCTCTCCTTCACTGCAACAGTCTTGAGTAAAATCTTCCTACTGTTTGAACAAAGGTCAGAATTTCAACATCGGCATCTCAAAGAAAGCCTATAGCTATTATGTACTTTAAAATTTCTAGGAATAGATGTGTAGACTCAGGGT